CTATACCAGTGAATATGAGCACTGAAAATGACAAATTGCTTCATCTCTATGAGACCATTTTTCATCTGTTAAATGGGGATACAAATACTTAGATTTAATACCTCCTAGGGACGTTGTAGGGATTATATAGTAATAGAACCTAACATTTACATACTATTTGAGGTTTTTAAACATTTTACACTTTATTATCTCATTTCATCTTTGCAACAATCCTGTGAGTTTGGTGCTCTTGTTATCCCTAACATATAGATGAGGACACTGAGGGACTTGCTCAGGGTCACCCAGCTAGTAAATGTCTGAGGCTAGATTTGAACTCGTCTTTCTGACTCCAGGGTGAGCACTCTATCCACTGAGCCACCTTGCTGTCTAATTATTTTTATCACTGCTAAGTGGAAAGAGCCCTAGACTGTGAGCTAGGACACCTGGATTTTAGGTGGGGCTGAACTTTTGAAAAATTTGGGGAGTAGGAAGGTTTATAATCCATCATTTCTATTTCTGTCATAACATTTCGTGCTTGATCATCGGAGACACTGCTGGAGAAGGCTAGAGTTCATCCTACTTAACCATATGGAAAGTTGGTTAGAAAAACTCAAAGTGAAAGTTTAGATTCTTTGGGACCTCACGATGATCCCAACTTTTATAACAAGGGAAATGTTGCTTTAGAGTTCAGCAGTTGCAGAGAAAATTTTGAAAATTACACTGCAGTCGAGCTCAGCTCTTGCAAATAGCCCTTACTAACCCCCTTACCAGGACAACACTCACAAATTAACATTCTGAGTCACAAAAAAGGCCAGGTCAAGAGAAGAATTCAAAATGTGGAAATGTAAGGATGGCTGGGGAATGTGAAACTCTGTGAACCATGAATGGCCTCTTGTCAGAAGTTGGGCAGCTGGGATTATGACAGGAATACATGGAAACCTGTTCAGTAGGTGGGCGGTGGCCAAGACACAAAGATGATTATTTCTTCCCTCTATGTGTGTATATACACACACACACACACACACACACACACAGACACACACACACAGATACATACATATATACATCAGGAAGAAAGGAAAGTAGGAAGGAAATAAAAGAGGAAGGGAGGAAAGAGAGGAAGAAAGAAAGGAAAGTAAAAAGGAAGGAAAGAGAGAAGGGAGGAAGGGAAAAGGGAAAGTAGGGAGAAAAGGGAGGAAGACAGGAAGGAAAGAGGGAAGAAAGAAGGGAGGAAGGAAGAAAGGGAGGAAGGGAAAAAGGGAGGAAGGAAACAGAAATTTATTGAATACTTACAGACAAGCAAAAAGAAAGACAAATGTCCATTCTCAAGGAGTTTACATTTAAATGGAAGAAAACAAAACACCGAAAGGGAGCTGAAAACTGAATGAGTGGGGAGAGAGGACATGAAAGGACCTGGTGCCAGAATGTCAGGAAAAGGGCTGGGAGGGGGATGAAGGCAGGCTGTCCTGGGCCCCTTCCACAAAATGGAAGCTCCAGCAGGAGCTCACCAATGGTCAGAAGGGGGCGGGCCTTGTAGAGGAATATTCCAGGATGAGCATGCCATAAGGGTGGCAGGATGTTCTAGGGTGGAGGAAGCTGCAGAATGAGACAGCAGCAGAGACATAACTTGAAGTAGAGTCAGAAACAAGGCTGATGGGAACACCACCAGCATATAGCAGAAATCCTAGGTCTTATTGACTGTAAACACTTCATATAAGTATTTTTATTAATTTACTTTTGTAAATGTATTGACACACTTAATATTGCACAGGCACAAGCTGGAATGGGAGGTATCTAGACAGTTTCCTATCTTTTAAAAAGCGAGATTTTTCTATATGCTCTGAGCTCTATGATAACAGCGCATGTTTATATAGTAGCATAAGTTTTACAAAACACCTTCCTCCTAACAATTCTTTAAAGTGGGTTACCTTTATATTTTGCTTTCAGGTTGGCATTTTCAGTTATTTTACAGATGAGGAAACTGAAGCAGATTGGGGTTAAAATACCTTATCACACTTAGACCCAGTACTGGGTTGTGAGATAGATGAGATGTGAGACACTATTTCTAAAGGGCTTTGCAAACCTGAAAGCTTTTTGCAAATGCCAGCTCTTATTAGCACCTGCTTCCCAGGGTTATTGGGAGGATAAAATAAGATAATATTTATAAAGCATCTTGGAAACCTTAGAACACTATATAAAAGCTGTTATTGTTATTGTTGTTGTTGTTGGTTATATACCACACCACGTTGTGTCTTAATATGAGAACAAACAGTATGATTTGGCAAACATAAAACCAATATCATAAGTTATAGGAACTGGCCCTGTGAATTCATTGGGATAGGAAACTCATTCTAGTAATGCAGCTGGTACCTTCTCTGCAACTTACAATCATAGAGTTTCTTAGAGCACTTAGAGGTTAAGTGACTTGCCTAGGGTTGCACAGCCATTAAAAATCGGAGGTAAACTTTAAACCAGGTCTTCCTGCTTCTAGGGTTAGCTCTCTATCCATTAGGCTGTGACTGATTTCTTAAGCTGAATTAACGTAGAGTCTTTGCTGTATTCCCATCTTCCTATTTCCATAGTCATTATTTTAGTCTATACATTGAGCACACCTAATAATACTTTTTTTTTGGAGGCAGTTAGAGTTAAGTGACTTGCCCAGGGTCACATAGCTAGTAAAGGTCAAATATATGAGTCCAGATTTGAACTCAGGTCCTCCTGACTCCAGGACTGGATATTCTATCCACTGCAGGTTGCCCCACGCCTAATAATACTTAACCATCCACCATCCTACACTTATATAGGATTTTTTTTACAAAGTCCTTTCCTCTTGATAACCTCCAAACTAGCCAGTGCACATATTACCATCTGTTTTACAGATAAAGAAACTAAGACTCAGGCAGGGTAAATAATTTACCTGTATTCATAGAGCTAGTCAATTTAACAGAGAGTTATGAAGCCCTAGAAAGTGTCACAGCAAGGCTTCAAAGACTCTTCAAAGGCTCTTTTGATTTCAAAGTGATTTTTCCATTATAGGCTTGTTTGTATGGTTTTTTTTTTTGCATGTTGTCTCCCTCTTCAGACAATTAAACATGGTCCCAAGGGACCAGGGACTGGCCCCTATTTTTCTGCCTTTCTTTATATCCTGAGTAAGCATTTAGAAAATCCTTGTTGGCTGACGGATGGACTAGGCTTCACATCTTTGATTTTAGACCAAAGCTTGGGTCTTGGGAGCTTCTTGAAGATTGGGGCTGTGTTTTCTTCTTCTTCTTTCTCTTTTTTCATAGACTCTACTGCCCACTTCTCTTCATTTCTGAAATTCCCTCCTTCCTCCCTCTTTGTCCGTTCCTGTCCCTCACATTCTTTAGGATAAGCCCCATTTTTTTTTTTGCTATAATGCTCCCTTCTTCAACTCCATTTTCTCCTTTGATGGATCTTTAAATCCCTTACTTTGTCTGTGATTGATGGATAGCATTAGGCTAGTAATCTGACTAGCAACTATTAAGTTCAATTATATGAATTTCATGTATGTATTTTCACCTGAACTAGACTATAGGTTCCTACATGTTAGGGATCATAGCACCTAGATAGTGGTTCACACACAGAATTTAACCAGTACATGCTTCAGAACCTAACACCACCCAACATGCCCTGCCTTGCTTATGCCACACCTAGAGGATTGTGTTTACATTTGGATGCCACCTTTTTAGGGAAGATGACTAGATGATTGAATTAGAGCTGGAAGGATCTTTGGAAGTCATGTAAGATTCTAGGATTATACCACCAAAAGTAGAATGGACCTTAGAGTCAACTCCCCTTAGTTTATAAATGTGCCCCAGAGAAGAAACTGAGGACCACAGGCTTTCTGAGGTCACATAGTAAGCAGTGGAATCAGAATCTGAACTATAACCCTCTCACTCCAAATACAGCACTTTCTCACTATACCATACATTGACACACTTGAGGAAGCCCAGAGGAAGGCTATTGGAATGATGAGGGGAGTCAAAATGAAGCCATGTAAGGCTCAGCTGAAGGGCTGTTGGAGGAAAGAAGACTCAGGAGGGTTTTCAAACTCTTCGGCTTGGCATTTAAAGACCTTCACAGGCTCCCTCTTGCTTCCTCTTCAGATTTATTTTCCATGACACCACTTGGTTCATTCTATATTCAGTCTGCCTGCTCTCTCAGCATTATATTTCCTGTCTGTTTTTGCACAGGTGCTCCCGTATGTCTGGAATTTACTCTTGTCTCACCTCCATCTCTTAGAATTCCTGACTTCCTTCAAGCGCCGAATCATACACCATCTTTTAGGAGTGACCTTTCCTAATTCCCCTAATTCTCAGTGTTTAGTTCTTCCTCAGATAATCACATATCCACTTATATGGTGCAGTGGATAGAATGCCCAACCTGGAGTTAGGAAGACTCCTGAGTTCAAATATGGCCTGAGACACTTACTAGCTGTGTGACCCTGGGCAAGTCATCTGTTTGCCTCAGTTTCCTCATCGGTAAAATGAGCTGGAGAAAAAATTGGCAAACCACTCCAGTATCTTTGCCAAGAAAACCCCAAATGAGATCAGACAAGACTGAAAAGACTAAACTACAAATCCACTTATTTGTGGGGTATTTCCCAGAGGGATGTGAGTTATTTGGAGTCAGGGAGTATTTATTCCCCTCCATTTTGTCTTTCTATCCACCAGTGCCTTAAGCAGGCATTTAATAAATGCTTGTTGGATTGGCTTAGGATGCTTTCGTTAAGTATTAAGTGTTACTCAGACTTAAAGTTTACTATTGAAATGCAAATACCTTTAATAACCTTTCAATCTCCCCTGTACCTTCCAAACACCTTCTCCAGACACACAAGTGCTCCTCTAGGGTGTCCAGCCTTCAAATTGCCCTTAGCGTCAGACTAACCAGCTCCCTTCACTTTCAGCATTGCAGGATGATTTCATAAGATGGGGAATACTACCAAGGCAGAGCCAGGTGACAGGACACTTTACCACCTATAGAACATAGGGGGGAGTTACCTTTTCCACTTGTCTCTGAGACTCCTTATGAAGCAAGATCTTCACCAAGTAGTCCCTGGAACCATGGAAGCACAGAGAATTTTAGTTGAAATGGATGTTGGGGATCCTCTAGTCTAACCCTCTCATCTGACAAGTGATTGTTACCTTACACTTGAATTACACTATAAGCTTTTCAAAGCCTTTTCCTAAATTTCTTAATCTTATTTGATCCTTTAAACAGCCTATACTAAGAGATCAGAATTATTCTATTAGACTGTAATCTCTTTGTGAACAGGAATTGTTTTTGCTTTTCTTTGTATCTCTGGTGCCTGGCACACAGTAAGCACTTAATAGATGATAGATAACTGACAGATTACCCCCATCAGACAGATGAGGAAACTGAGGCCTAAAAAGCTAGAACAACTTTTCCAACTCATCAAAGTATTTTTTAAGGAACCAAATTCACAGGCCCCAACTTAAGAATCACTAATTTAGTCTAGTCCTTTCATTTTATAGATAAGGAAACTGATGCCTGGATTAATTAAGTGATTTATACAGTCACACAGCCAGTGAATAGGAAAGCCATAATTTGAAGCCGAGTCCTCTGCTGCCAAATTCAATGCTCTTTCCATTTTTTGGGTAACACTGTCTGCCACTCCACTCATCTGTATCTTGTATTGATAGCACAGCACTCCCTTATTACAGCCGCAACCTTCAGAGCAGACGTCTAGGTGTCTGTGGTAATGGGGATATTCCATTGAGAGCGATGGTATATACTCTAGTAAGTTTGGTTGTATAAGACAGCCTGTGGCCTGATTTCAGGGGCTCTTGTTAAGACTGGGGTGTCCAGGAGAAGACAGGTGAGATATGTGAGAATGATGTCACTTTTTGCCATGGCTGATTATCATGATCTACCCCACCAAAGCAAATAAAAAAGTCAAGAACTTGAACTGTAGAAGAGAGGTCAGGAGTCTTCCTAACTATTGGCATACGACGATAAAGAAGATATGATAAGCTGGTCTCCCGGGTGGTTGTGGTGGGGATATGATTATTAGATCGTTACTCTTCATAGAATGGAGCAGATGGAGGAGAAGATATGAAGAGTATGGAACACTGGCTGTGTCTGTGGAATGTAGGTAGAAAGCAAGAACCTGTGGACATAGCCATCATGTTCAAAGTGTAGATTCTTGGAGCTAATGCCATGTCAGGCACATGGGGAAGGGGTTCTAGTCCAGGTGAAGGTAGGCAACCTCTAACTGTGGCACTGTTGGAAAGTGAATAGGAGCCTTGGGTACTAGTGTTGAGCAGAGCAATACTAACATCACAGGTGGCCCACAATGAATAACTCTGGGCAGATTTGGCCTTATATTTGAGTTGGCCTTTCTGAGTCCCCAGAGAGAGAACCGAGTGTTCAGGGAGAAGTCAGTGGATCTAAGCAGCAGAAAATGTCTAGGATCTGATATGTGTGTGTGTGTGTGTGTGTGTGTGTGTGTGTGTGTGTGTGTGTTTGTCCGTGTATAAAATAGCCCAGTACACTATATGGTGCAGTTTCCAGGTGAATTCCCTTCAAACCTGACACATTTGCAAATGTTGTTAGCAACAAAAGACATCGTCTACAGATATCACAGGAGACTTGTTTGAAATCCAAATAAAGGTTTATGTTAGGCAGACCTATTTCTGTAAACCCTACATCATAGCTGTCTGGCTCATTTATTTTTTACTAGATGTGTGTGGTTATGGCATGTTATGCAATCAACTTTTCCATATGTAAAACCCCAAGGTTCTGAGAAGAGAGAGAGAGTGAGAAAGAGAGAGAGAAGAGAGAGAGAGAGAGAGAGAGAGAGAGAGAGAGAGAGAGAGAGAGAGAGAGAGAGAGAGAGAGAGAGTGTGTTACCAAATGATTCATATTTATTTCTACAAACTTGGATCAAGCCAAATTTAGGAAGCACAGGGGTATATAGGAAAGAGCACAGGACTGAAGGCAGAAAACTTCGGTTCTGGCCACTGTTTTGCTACTAGTTAACTGTTTGGCACTGGACCTCAGTGTCTCCACGTGTAAGATGAGGGGTTCAGACAAGATGGGCTTAAACGTCCCTTTTATCTTTGACGTTCTCTGGGTTAGGAGCCCCACCGTCCATTGTGATGTCAACTGCAATTGGCTAATTTTCTTTGCCCACTTCCTCCACCGGGACTTTTCCTTCAGTTCTAACTCAACCTGTCCATGACAAAATGCTGGAATCTGGCTTGTGTTGTCTTCCCTCAGCTTACCTGGATTCATTCTGCAGACATTAGGGATGAATTCAGAGGATTTCAGGGGAATCCAAAGTTTGCTTGTCAACCTGCAGTTATAAACTGCAAAACCACCTTCCAGCCGACCAAGAAATAACATGTATTTTTATCCACTTCTCACCTCTCCAATGCGCTTTCAGTGGAAGAAAGAAATCTAAGTGGGAAGAAAGTTTGTCCTTTAGCAAAGGGAAGCTGACACTCAGGGTGGAGTGTGTAGGTAGGTGTTGATTTGGATTACCTTTTCCTCTCTTTCTTAAAGAGATAGCTTCTTCTTAGTGAGCCTTGGTTGCATTGTGAGGAGTTTTCAAATAGGCTGACTGAGTCATCTTGCTTGGGTGCATTCCTTGTGATTTGCTGAGAAAACACATGCATCTTCTCTCTCTTGCCTCTCTCCTCTGCCCCTCTCTCTTTCCCTCTCTGTCCCCCTTTCCCTCTCATTCCTCTTTCTTTCTTTCCCTCCCCCTCTTTCTTCCTCCCCTTCCTCTCTTCCTCTATTTCTCCTTCCTTCCCTCTTTCCATCTCCCTCTCCCCCTCTCCTTTCAATTCAAGGTGTGAGTCAGTAAAGGGGTAGGATGGGGGTTTAAGCATTCAGTGCTGTAGTTTTCTGTATCCTGAATCAACAATGTTGTTGTTGTTGTTGTTGTTGTTGTTGTTTTTCCCTCTCTTTTGGGTCTTTGTCCTCCCATGGCTGTTTCTCAGTACAGACCCAGACAAAAATGCTTCTTTTTTTTTTTTGAATTGTAAAATCCACAGATGGCCAGTGGAGAAGTCCCATCACCCTCCTTTCTTGACTCCTGTTCCACTCTACAATGCAGGGACTGTCTCAGTGGAACTAGCCCAAGTTCAAATCATGCCTCAGATAATTACTAGCTGTGTGACTCTTATCACTTATCCGCTCTCAGCCTCAGTTTACCCATTTGTAAAATGAGAGAGTGGGCTTTAGGGGCCTCAAGGCTCTAGCTCTAAATTTATGACTCATGATTAGGTGACATCTATGTTCCCTTGTAGCTCTGAATCTGTGATCCTATGGTCCCTTTCTGCCATAGTTGCTGGAAAGAGTAGAGTTGTGTTGGGCTCTACAATGGAGACCCCTTGACCTTAGATATTCTCTTTTTTTTTAATATGAATTTATTTATTTTTAGTTTTCAATTCCAAATTTCTCACCCCTCCCCCCACCCCAAGATGGCATGCATTCTGAATACCCCTTCCCCTGGTCTGCCTTCTCTTCTATCTCTCCCCCCTCCCTTCTCTTATCCCCTTCCCCTTCTATTTTCCAGTAGAGCAGGATAGACTTCTGTACCCCATTTCCTGTATTTCTTATTTCCCAGTTGCATGTGAAAACATTTTTTTAAAACAAACATGTGTTTTTAAAACTTTGAGTTCCAAATTTTCTCCTTCCTCCCTCCCCACCCACCCTCATTGAAAAGGCAAGCAACTCAATATAGGTTGTACATGTGCAGTTATGCAAAACACGTCCACAGTAGACATGTTGTGAAAAACTAATTCTATTTCCCTTAATCCTATCCTGCCCTCTCATTTATTCTATTCTTTCTTTTGACCCTGTCCCTCCTCAGAAGTATTTGCTTCTGATTACCCTCTTTCCCAATCTGCCCTCCTCTCTATCACCCCCTGCTCTCTTGTCCCCTTCTCCCCTATTTTCCTGTAGGGTAAGACAGATTTCCATACCCAATTGAATGTGTATGTTATTCCCTCCTAAGCCAAATCCTATGAGAATAAGATTCCTCATTCCCTCTCACCTTCCCCTGTTTCCCCTCCACTGTAAGAGACTTTTCTGGTTTTTTTTTTTTGTGTGAGATAATTTACCCCATTCTACCTCTCCCTTTCTTCTTCTCTGAGTATAATCCTCTCTCATCCCTTAATTTTATTCTCCAGATATGACCCCTTAATCTTCAACTCACCCTGTGCCTCTATCTATCTATCTATCTATCTATCTATCTATCTATCTATCTATCTATACATACATATAATTTTTCCTTCAACTACCCTAATACTGACAAAGGTCTCATGAGTTACAAATATCATCTTTCCATGCAGGAATGTAAACAGTTCAATCTTAATAAGTCTCTTATGATTTCTCTTTCCTGTTTACCTCTTCATGTTCCACTGAGTCCTGTATTTGAAAGTCAAATTTTCTGTTTCAGCTCTGGTCTTTTCATCAGAATGCTTGAAAGTCCTCTATTTCACTGAATGACCATTTTTTCCCCTGAAGGATTATACTCAGTTTTGCTGGGTAGGTGATTCTTGGTTGTAATCCTATCTCCTTTGCCCTCTGGAATATTATATTCCATGCCCTGCGGTCCTTTAATGTAGAAGCTGCTAAATCTTGTGTTATCCTGATTGTGTTTCCACAGTACTTGAATTGTTTCTTCTGGCAGCTTGTAATATTTTCTCCTTGACCTGGGAACTCTGGAATTTGGCTATAATATTCCTAGGAGTTTTCCTTTGGGGATCTCTTTCAGGAGGAGATCTGTGGATTCTTTCAATTTCTATTTTGCCCTCTGGTTCTAATATATCAGGGCAGTTTTCCTTGATAATTTCTTGAAAGATGATGTCTAGGCTCTTTTTTTGATCATGGCTTTCAGATAGTCCAATAATTTTTAAATTCTCTCTCCTGGATCTATTTTCCAGGTCAGTTGTTTTTCCAATGAGATATTTCACATTGTTTTCTAATTTTTCATTCTTTTGGATTTGTTTTACAGTGTCTTGATTTCTCATAAAGTCACTGTCTTCCAATTGCTCTATTCTAATTTTTAAGGAAGTATTTTCTTCAGTAATCTTTTGGACTTCCTTTTCCATTTGGCCAATTTTCTTTTTAGGGCATTTTTCTCCTCATTGGCTTTTTGGACCTCTTTTGCCGTTTGGGTTAGGCTATTTTTTAAGGTGTTATTTGGGTCTCCTCTAGCAAGCTGTTGACTTGTTTTTCATGATTTTCTTGCATCACTCTCATTTCTCTTCCCAGTTTTTCCTCTACTTCCCTTACTTGCTTCTCAAAATCCCTTTTGAGCTCTTCCAAGGCCTGGGACTGATTCATATTTTTCTTGGAGGCTTTGGATGTAGGAGCTTTGACTTTGTTGTCTTCTTCTGGTTGTATTTTTGATCTTCTTTTTCACCAAAGTAAGATAATATAGTCTGACTCTTTTTTGCTGCTTGCTCATGATCCAGCCAATTACTTGAGTTTTAAACTCTTTGTTAAGGTAAGAGTCTGCTTCCAATGTGGAGAGTGTACTGTCCCAAGCTTCAGGGGTTTGTGTAGCTGTTTTCAGAGATACTTGTAGGGACCTGTAAATTTTCAGTTCTTCCAAGGTGGTATGATAAGGGGCGAGGTGTTTACTCCTTTCCTGGCCTGGGACCACAAGTATTCCTTTCTATGCCGTAACTGTGAGGAGGAATTCCTCTTCACAGCCACTACAAGCTCCACCACACCAGCGTTCCTCCTCACCCCAGCACTGCTGCCCAGAACTGTGACCCAGATCCACACACGGGCAAAGCAAGCGATTCCTGCCTCAGCACTGGCAAAGAGATCCCTGCAATCCCTCTCTGATCAGCCACTGGATTCCCCCTCAGTCTGTGGGCCGAAGCTCAGGAAGCAGCTCCCCCCCCCAAGGGCCAGGGTCTTGGGGAATGGAGCTGATACCCCGCCTTCCTCTCTGACCCCCGACAGAAACAGACTTTCCCCACTGACCTTCCAAGTTGTCTTTGGCATTTGTGGATTGAAGAGTCTGGAAACCTCCACAGCTGCCCGCAATTCAGTCCTCTGAGGCCTGCTCCAGGTTTGCTGCGGCCTGCGAGTTCATGCTGCGCTGCGCTCCCAGCCCAGCACGATACACCTTTCTGATCAATCATCCAGGTTTTCTTGGGCTGGAAATTTGTTTCACTCTGTCTTTTTGTGGGTTCTACTGCTTCAGAATTTGTTTAGAGCCATTTTTTAATGAGTATTTGGAGGGGTTTGGGGGAGAGCTCAAGCAAGTCACTGCTTTCACTCTGCCATCTTGGCTCCGCTCCCAGACCTTAGATATTCTCAAGGGCCTCAACTCACAGTGTAGCATTGGACTCTTTCTTGACTACCCCCAAGGCTTTGGCAATGGATTAAGACTACATTTCATCTGCAATAAGGACTATACTCAGACTTCCTTATGGTCTTGCTCAGATACACCCATCAATAAATGTGAAACCCTTAAGAACTGGGTCAGTGAATCAAAGTGTTCCAATCTGCTTTCTCTATCTATCTCTCTTCTTCTCTCCTCTACCCCCCTCCCAGTGCTTACCTCCGTTTTTTTATCCTGCTGTTCTCTCCAATGTGAACAGTTCAGGGCTTTGATGTCCTGTATTGATTAAAGATATTTAGTGCTCTCTGTTTTCAGTAGTTTCAACTCTGGAAAGTATCCTGAATTGTTGGCATGAGAAAAGGGCTCTCCCATCCCTAAATCAATATGATTAAAGCTTAGACAAACTAAACTACTTACTTCTGTCTTATGGGCAGAAAACATTGAAGGAATTCAATGCTACAGCTAGAATGTCTAGGGAAGTCTCTAGTGACTATATGGCACAGGAATTTATAGGAGTATGATCTTGGCATAAAAATTATTGCTTATGTTTACATAGCACTTTATGATTTACCAAAGGCTTTTGTCCACAACATCGCTTTGAAATATGAAGTGCAAACATCCTTCCCATCATTGACTTGCCCAAGATCACACAGCTAGTAGGTGGCAGAATTGGAAAGCCAGGGCAGAACCAGAACTGGGTTGGGGTGTCTGTGGCTTTGTCCTAGGACATTAAAATGTAGAGGTTGCAAAGGATAGTTTCTATAGTAACTAATTTACTTTCAAACTCAATTGAATTTGCCTTGATTGTTATAGGCAATGTGGCATAGTGGTTTGAGGACCAGCCTGACAGCCAAGAAGGCCTTGGTTCAGGTCCTAACTCTGACACATACCCGCTATGTGACTGTGGGCAAGTCACTTCATCTCTCTTTCTCCCAGGCACCTTTCCAAGACTACACATATACAGTTTAGTGTCTGTGCTGTACCTATAGAGTTCCCATAGCTGGAATTCTCCCTCCCATTGAAATTATAGATTCAGATAAAACAACAACAACAAGACCCTCAAATTTATTTTCTTAATTATTATACTGTGACTTTTAGCTG